ATCTGTCCATCCATCTACCCATCTATCCATCCACCTTCTTTCCATTCACTATTCATCCATTTATCCATCCATGCACACATCCACCCACTTATCCATCCATGCACGCATCCGTCCACCCACTCATTCATGCATCTGTCTACCCAGCCAGCCATCCACCTATCCATCTACCATCCACCTATCCATCCGTTCACCATCCACTCACCATCCACTCACCCATCCATCCATCTTTCTACCCATTCATCCGTTCGTTGATCCATCCATCCATCCATCGAGCCATCCATCCATCCACCCATCCATCCACCCACTCATCCATGCATCTGTCTACCCAGCCGTTATCTACCTATCCATCCACCATCCACCCATCTATCCACCCACTATTTACCATCTATCCACCCACTCACCCATGCATCTGTCTACCCAACCATTCATGTACTTATCCATCCATAATCCATCCATCCATCCACCCACCCATCTACCCACCATCCTTCTATCCTTCCATCTCCCCATCCACAGTCTATCCATCCACCACCCATCCCACACAGCTGTGCTGAATTCTTATGTGCTAGAGCCATCAGGCTCGTATTTCTCTCAGGGTCCCCAGGCTGCCTCTTGTGGTACATGACACCTGGAACTCAGCTCCTTATTTCCAAGTGATTTCTCAATCACTTGCCTTCTGCCTTAAAATGGACCTCACTGTGTTGTCCCTTCATGAGTCTGGGGACATACCACCTGGTTACATCCTCATTAGAATGGGCTGTGAGGATGCAGGTGCTCTAAGGACAAGAATTTCTACATGTGAAAGGGGAAGGTAGGCAGAGGCCAGCTTCCATAACTGGCCAGCTGGGGGTGGAGCTGGGTGTTCTTGGGCATGTTCAAGAAAAGGCGGTCTCCTCACCACTGTGCAGGATCCCTGACTCCCAAAGGGGGAGGTGGTGGTGGGGAGGGGGTGGTGGGGCAAACGCTTCCTGTAGAGGCTCTTATTCAGGTACAGGCTCTGAGGCCAGTGGCCTAGGGCTGAGTTTGAACCTCCTTGGGTGTCTCCAGGTTGGCTTCTTGGCTCAGGACACGCAGTGGACAGGGAGCAGGCTGTTTTAGGGGAAGGAGTTGAATGCAGGGAATGAGGGTATTACAAGTCTCTGGGCAGTCTGGCAGTGAGAGTCAGGGGTCCTACTCCGCTGTTCCCAGATGGCAGGAAGTCACTGCCTCAGGAGTCTCTGAGCCCCCGAAGTGGGTCGCCAGGCATGCATGTGGGTCCAACACCAGGACATGTGTGCCTGGGACGTGGCAGTGCTGGCTGGGCAGGGGAAGGCCGCCCCCTCCCTCTCACATTCAACTCTCTGATTGGTTGGATCTGATTTGCTTCCCAGATCCTTACTGCAAAGGCATCTAGGAAATGTAGTTTTTAGCTTCCCAGACTCCATAGAGCAAGAAGTGCTGGGGAGTGGCTGTGGGTGACCCCATTGACCTCTGGGGACTAACCACATGGGTGACCGGTTGCGGTGTGGGTTGCACAGCAGGAACAGAGCCTGGGTTTCATGAAGCTTTCAGAGCTAGTCTCTCTGTCAAAGGGTGGGTCTTAAAGAGTGAATCCCATGAGTGGATTGCCTGAGCCCGCGGGTTCGAGACCCTCCTGGGCAGCGAGACCTCATCTCTACAATAAATCAAAAAATCAGCCAGGCGTGGTAGCGCATGCCTGTAATTCTGGCTACTCGGAAGGCTGAGGCAGAAGGATCGCCGGAGCCCAGCAGGTCGAGGCTGCGGTGGCCGGGAGCGGCCACTGCACTCCAGTCTGGGCGACAGAGTGAGACTCCGACTCCAAAAAGAAAAAGAAAGAGTGAATCCCGCATGGGGTGTGGAGATCCCACGTGCGATGCCAACTGTCTCTCCTCCGGGCACCATGAGTCCTGTGGGGACCACTGGAGATGTCCTCCTGCCCAGCCATCGGAGAGCAAGTTTGTGGCATTATGAAGCACTCGGGACAATGTGTGATGACTGCTGATTTCTCTTACTGGGCCATGACTCCAAGGCCTGTCCCCCAGTAGGGGGGACGCTGGCCTCAAAGATACATCCACGTGCCCCCAGTGCTGGTGCTGTGTCCAGCGGGTCCCTGCTAGAGATGGGAGAGAGCTTGCAAGGGGCCCGTGCTGCCAGACTTTGCTGGGCCCTCCCACACCGTCTCAAAACATCGGGTTGCTCTTAGCCCTGGCACAGAAGCCCCTGGCCAGCAGGAAGGGTGGCATGGGGCCTGGGAACGGCCTCTTAAACTCCTTGCAGCAGAGGTCTGCGAATGCATCCACAAAGCCGGCTGCAAAACAGCTCTCTGCCTTTAGCGATCGAGAAAACAGGCTTGCAGGCTGGGTCTGGGAAGAGCATCATGGCAGGCTATGTTGTGAGTCCAGGAAGCCCCAGCCGAGTCCTTGATACCTTGCCCTGGCCGCCACTGATCTTGGACGCGAGTCTCAGAGATGACCCAGGGCTCGGCACCGTGTCCTCCTCGGCAGGTGGGCCGGCGGCTGGCGCCGGCCTCTCTTCCCACGGGTCGAGGCCAGGCCTGGGACTGTTCCATGCAGCCTCACCAGGCACCTGTGCTCAGTGTTGCCTCTTTTTTTGTTTTTGGTTTTTTGGGTTATTTTATGAGTCGAAGTCTCACTTTGTTGCCTAGGCTGAAGTGTAGTGGCACGATCATGGCTCACTGCAATCTCGACCTCTTGGGCTCAGGTGATCCTCCCACCTCTGTCTCCTGAGTGGCGGGGATTACAGGCATGCATCCCCATACCTGGCTAACATTTTTTTTTGTAGAGTTGGGGTCCTGCTATGTGGCCCAGGCTGATCTCAAACTCCTGGGCTCAAGCAATCCTCTTGCCTCAGCCTCCCAATGTGTTGAGACTACAGGTGTAAGCCACCGTACCTGGTCTCTGCATCGCTTCTGAAGTCAATGGCAAGGGCTCCCAGCCAGGGCTTTGCAGGGCCTGGGTGGGAGGCATCTCAGATTCCTGAGGGACTGACCCCACCGGGTGGGCTGGGCCCTGGGCCACAGCCAAGAGCCACCCAGGAAATCAGAGGTCGTGGTGGGAGTCTGTCTCTATGTACCCTCAGACAGGCATTTCCCATACCTCTTCCCCCAGGGAGACAGCAGCTCCGTTTCTGTCTATGATGTTTGGATCTAGCAGAGTGGGGAGGACCCCACAACATTTTCAAAGGAGAAAGCCCCAAGATGGAGCTTCACTGGCCTGGCCCGTCACAGTCCGTTCCTGTGCAGTCATCCAGGGCAGGATGGTGTCTGCTTGGCCAGCAGAGGGGGCGTGGTCACTTACCACACCCACTTGGCCCATGGATCCTGGTGGGTGGGGTCCTACAGCCCCCAGGACGCCCTGTCACATGCTGTTCTGTCCCTGTGATGCTAACTTTGAGTTTATTTTCTCTGCCCGGACCCCCAAGGAACCTCTTGTTTGTAGTAACATGAGCTGACCAGTCCACACAAAACCGACATCATGTAGGTCAGGGGCCTGGGTCCCAAGCCTTGCGGGGGACACATGTGTGAGGTCCTTGTGGCATGAGGGAAGAAGACACCGGTGCATGGAGCATCTTTTGTGCTTGGGCCCGCCCACCATTGGGCACCCCAGTGAACATGGCTTCAGATGGTCGGAGCATTACTCTCTCCCCTGCCCTTCTCTGGGGGCCCCCTGGATAGAGCATCAGGAACCTTCTGGAAGGAATGCGAGGGTCCGCTCCTTCCTCCTTTTTTCTTGGCTGTGATTCTCTTGGGACGTGGGTGTGAACCTTTTGGGGGCAGATGGACACTGGGCGTTTGCCGGAAACTTGTGGGAATGGCACTTTGATTGGATAATGAGAGGGATAAAACATGTCGGTGACATCACTTGTGTCCCCCTGCCTGGGGGCCCTAGATGTCGCACAGTTGATCTCAGGAGCTGCCGGTCACTCTCATTCCATTTGGCGGATTCCATCAAAATCCACCCTTTTCAAAGGGCGTCTTGTCTGTGGCGAGCTTCCGTGGCTTTCCAGCTTATGTGTGGGGCTGTTATCTTTCTTTTTTTTTTTTTGAGTCGGAGTCTCACTCTGTCGCCCAGACTGGAGTGCAGTGGCCGCTCCTGGCCACCACAGCCTCGACCTGCTGGGCTCCGGCGATCCTTCCGCCTCAGCCTTCCAAGTAGCTGGAATTACAGGCATGCGCTACCATGCCTGGCTGATATTTTTTTTCTGATTTATTATAGAGATGAGGTCTTGCTGCCCAGGCGGGTCTCAAACCCGTGGGCTCAGGCAATCCACTTACCTCAGCCTCCCAAAGGCGCGGAATTACAGGCTGAGCCACCGAGCCCCGCTTGTTTTCTATTCTGGATGAGAAGAGGTTTCTGGGAGGCCAGGTTGAAGCTCTCACCAGTGAGGATTTGGGAGTAAAAAGCAACTCAAATGCAAAATAAGGAAGGAAGTAGTCAGAGGGGGGAGGCAGGGAGGACTTGCTCCTGGCTGTGGCTGCTTACTGGGACAGGACAGGATGAAACCCTTTCCCTGCCTCCTTCTGGGTACTGGCCCTTGGTATCTTTTTTTTTTTTTTTTTTTGAGACACAATCTCACTCTGTTGTTCGGCTAGAAGGCCATTGGCATGATCACAACAATCACAGTTCACCACTGCCTCGACCTCCTGGGCTCAGGCGATCCTCCTGCCTCAGCCTCCAGAATAGCTGGGACTACAGGTGTGTGCCACCATGCCCAGCTAATTTTTGTTATTGTTATTTTACTACCTTGCTCAGGCTGGTCTCGAACTCCTGGGTTCAAGCTGTCCTCCCGCTTCAGCCTCCCAAAGTGCTGGGATTACCAGTGTGAGCCACCGCGCTTCAGTGTCTTCTGAGTGTCAGAATTTCTTGGTGGTACAGGGGCAGGGTAGGAGGGTGAGGGACTGGTTTCTGGCCGTTCTGGCCCTCTGGACACCCCTGGGGTGCTCCTTGCACTTGTTCAATGCTCGTCCTCATCTGTCATTTCAGCTCAGCCAGCAGACCTCCTGAAGGTTTTAGACTTCCACAACTTGCCCGACGGGATCACAAAGACCACTGGTCTCTGCGCCACGCGACGTTCCTCCAAGGGCCCGGATGTTGCTTACAGAGTCACCAAAGACGCGCAGCTCAGTGCGCCCACCAAGCAGCTGTACCCCGGTAAGAGTCACACGTTTCGGTCCTGGGTGGCGGGTTCCCACAGACTCAGCAGCCTCTGACCGGTTCTGACCGGTGCGGGTGCTCCAGGACTTCACTACAGTGAAAGCACGATTCCTGGACTCTCGACTCTCAGATCAGGTGTGTTTCCAGTGATCGATGGGCCACGGGGACTCTGGGTACGGGGAAGGCTCCCGGGGGACGGGTTGGAGTGAACCCTCAGGGTCATGGGAAAGGAAGCCCTTTCAGACAGAAGCCTAATTGGGGGCAGTGACATTCAGAGGCGCACGAATCAAGCATCGTGACTCCCAGCAAGGGAGCTGAAGCTTTAATGATGGTCAATTGCCAAGCGCCGGGTCCTGCTTTTAATTACATACGGAGAGAAGGGCAGCTGGGAAAGGAGCATCCAGTCATCCTTGTCGCTGGCTGTGTGAGGCTGTACGTGTCACCTCCTCCCCCCACCCCCCCACCCCCGTTAATCAAACTCTCTGGGCTTATCTGACATGTGCAAATAAGCCCATGATGGATAATCCTTTACCCGGTCTTCTGCCTGTGTTCAGACCATCCCCTCCTTCGGATTCTGCTGAGAAAGGGACCAGACGAATCCCCTTTAGCAGATGTTCTGTAATGATTAGGAGACAGTACACCCCCTTTTTGATGACCTGGATGTGACCCTGACACTGAACCTAGTATCAGGGCAGTCTTTTCACAAGTCCTAATGTCTCTGTTAATCTTGTGTCTGTATTGGGTTCCTGAAGGATTCTTTTTTTTTTTTTTTTTTTTTTTTTTTTTTTTTTTTTTGAGTGAGGATCTTACTCTGGAGTGTAGGGACACCATCACAGCTCACCACAGCCTCTACCTCCTGGGCTCAGGCAACCCTCCTGCCTCAGCCTCCTGAGTTGCTGGAACTAAAGATGTGCTGTACCATGCCCAGATAATCTGTTCTCTCTCTATGTTGTCCTGGTTGGTCTTGAACTCCTGGGCTCAGGTGATCCTCCTGCCTCAGCCTCCCAAAGTGCTGGGATGCCAGGTATGAGCCCCCACGCTCAGCCTGAAGGACTCTCTTTTACTGGCCCTGTTTTTGCTCCCTCTGACCTTCTCACTGCATGTACTTTTCTCCCCCCACCCATTTTCTCAGCGTTCCTTGAAATCTGTGTTGACTTTTAAGAGCTTGTCTCCGAGAGGGTCCAGGTCTGACTTTTCAAGAATGTCATTTTGGGTGGGTGAAAGAAGGCAAAGGTGTCAGGTTGCTGCCTGACAGCTCAATGGAAAAAGAGCGAGGAGCATGGGAGTCCCTGCAGCCCAAGTTCTCTCCCAGAGCCCGTCTTTGTGATTTCTTTAGGAATCATCCAGTGTGCGTCTCTGCCCAGAAGTCGCACGCTCTTCTGCCCTGTGGCCCCATCTTTGGAATTCTTTTTTTTTTTGAGTTGGGATCTCACTATGTTGCCCAGGCTGGAGTGCAGTGGCACAGTCATGGCTCACCGCAGCCTCAACCTCCTAGGCTCAGGTGATCCTCCCACCTCAGCCTTCCGAGTAGCTTAGACTAAAAAGCACATGCCACCACGCCTGGCTAGTTTTTTGATTTTTTGTAGAGATGAGGTCTCGCTTATTGCCCAGACTGGTCTTGAACTCCTGGCCTCAAGTGATCCTCCCGTCTTAGCCTCCCAAAGTGCTGGGATTACTGGTGTGAGATACCACACCTAGCTGGAATTCTTGACCTAGAGAGACAGGGACAGAATCAAACAAGCATCTGCAAAGGTGTCTTAGCCCCAGAGGAACCCTACTTCCAGGTGGCTTATTTCCATGACATAAAATCCCCTGCCTCCACTGAGCTGCCTGGATTTCCTGAGATGCACACACCCTCTCAGCAGGTCGAGTGGGTGTGGGTTGTAGTGAAAGGCTTGGAAGGTGAGCTGGGCAGGTGATTGGGAGCCTTTGCCTGGACGTGGTGTGGTCCCTTTCCCTCCCAGCCCAGGCCGAACAGGCATTGACAGTGGCCTCTGCCCACATTGGCTCCACCCGTTCCTGCGTCCAGTGGCTGTGCAAGAATTGCCTGCTCTCTGGGCCCCAGGGTCACAGTTGTGAACAGAACAGTCACAGAATCCGGCCTTCTCTTGGCTGGGAGAGTCAGGGTCCCCTTGATCGGTGTTCCCCAGAGAAGTCACCCTCCACCCCCTGCTGAGATGGGAAGAAACTATTTAGCATTTTAGCATAAGACAGAGACTAGGATTCCTCTCTAATTTTTTTTTTTTTTGGTCAGGGTCACAGCTCACCACAGCCATAACCTCCAGGTACTACAGGCGTGTCCCACCACGCCCAGCTAATTTTTAAATTTTTTTGTAGAGACAAGGTCTCCAGGGCAAGACGCATCCCCTCACCCAGGGTGGACCCTAACATCTCCGTCTATTGGGGGAGAAGAGGGTGTGGTCAGAAGCCCAGGCAGGTCTCAAACTCCTCCTGGGTTCAAGCGGTCCTCCCTCCTTGGCTTCCCAAAGTGCTGGGGTTACAGGCATGAGCCACCATACCTGCCCTCCTTTCCAATTCTGAGAGGTTTTTCTAAGCTTGCTCAAATCCTATAATTTGGATTTTGGTACTGGGTGGTCCTGATGCCAGGGACACTACGCCGTAAGGACTATTGCCAAGCCCAGAACTGGACATTGGGGGTGGTCAGTCAACCAGAGAGGGTTGGGACTTTCTTTCCTTCCTTCCTGCCTCCCGCCTTTCTTTCCTTCTTCCTCTCTTTCTTTTCTTTTCTCTCTCTCTCTCTCTCTCTTTCTCTCCCATCCTCCCCTTCTCCCTGTCTCCCTCTCTTCTTCCTTCCCCCCACCCATGGGGTGGTCCAGGCCTCAACCTCCTCTACCAGCAGAGGACGTACCAGCTCACGGTAAGGCCAGCCCGAAACCTTGGAAGAAGTGTCCCCAGGACCCTCACTAGGCTGCCACAGTCCTGGGGTCTATATCCACCCCGGGCCCCCAGGATGGGACATTCCCTGCATCCCTTGACTCAGTGCTGCCTGCTGGCCATCACGCCTAAATCCAAGCTGTCCCCTCTGCAGATGACCAGGGCAGGCAGTTCTCCCAAGGGTCACCTGAAGCAGTGACGGGGTTCCCCCGCCCCCAGGCTTCGCTTCCTGGTGGACATGCCAGTTCCTCCCCTGCTATTCCTGTGCCGTAGATGGGGGTCCTCTCTGTTCTGCCTCCCTCTGGTCACCCTTCTGTCCACACCCCTCTTTGACAAGGTGCTGAGGTGCCCTCACGCTGAGAGTCCGAGGCAGGGTTGGGTGGACGCCGTGGGCATGGTCAGGTCTCCCATCCCCCCTGGACTGACGCCTGGCTTTACCCCAGCTCTCCAGCACTGTGGGCCCGGGCTTCAGATCAGCCACTGTCCAGTAGGAATTCCTGCTGTCCTCACTGCCCTCACTGTCCCCTTCCAGCCCATGCAGGAGACCCTGGAAACAGCCAGTCCACATGGGGCCACGGGATAGATACTCACCAGGACAGCTCTGAGCGGGACAGTGGCACTGGGATGTCTGAGGACAGGGCATTGCAGCAGGGACAGGTCCATGTGCACAGAAGATGTGGCAGGGAGGGGCAGTGCCCTCGGCCAGGGAGCAGCACCTTTCAGTGAGCAGAGCCGACGGCCCCCGAGGGGCTTTTGTCCATACCCTCCTCTCCCCCAATAAGAGAAATGTTAGAGTCTGGACAGAGGGAGGTGAGGGTCCCCCAGCTGAGGGGACTGGCCCTCTTCAACTCTCTGGATGGTAGGTGGTGAGTCCCCCAACTGAAGGTCTGATCCCCTCTCAGCTCCCTGGACAGTAGGAGGTGAGCATCCCCCAGCTGAGGGAACAGTACCCTCTCAGTTCACTGGACAGTAGGATGTGAGCGTCTCCCAGCTGAGGGAATGGTCCCCTCTCAGCCGCCCCCCAGCTTTCTGGATGGTAGGAGGTGAGGGCCCCCCAGCTGAGGGGATCACCCCCCATGGCTCCTTGGGTGGAAGGAGGTGAGGGTCTCCCAGCTGAAGGGACGGGCCCCCCTTGGCTCCCTGGACGGTAGGAGATGAGAGTCCCCCTGGCTGAGTGGACATGCCTGCCCTTGGCATCTACTTGCGGTTGGCAGCCATTTCTCCCCCACCCTGGGTCCCGGTGTCTCCTGGAATGGGCCAGCTCAGGGTCTGCGAACCCCGCATCTAACCACGAGTCATGCAGTAAGGCTAGCGGGGGCGGAAGCTGGTAGCCCCAGAACCGAGTCCTCCCTGCCAGGGCTACCAGATGGCAGACCGATCTCCAGGAACTCTCCCCTCCCACAGGCCCAAATTCTGGACCATAGGGCCTTCCGGTCAGTATCAAGGGAGCCGATAGGATTCCCTGAGGGTGGCCCCCCCAGTGCCTGGCTCCTGGGCCCTCTGCCCAGATGCTTGCTCTCTTTCAGCCTGGCACTGCCTGACCCCCCAGGGACCACTGAAACGTCACTCTAGGGACCCGGCCACCTGTTCACAGTTAGCCACAAACCCACATCATCTCCTGTTCTTCAGCCTCTCCCCTTGTACCATTTGCAGTTATTTGATTAACTTATTTGATTATTGTTCTTTCTGTCCCTCTGTGGAGATGTCAACTGTGAGGGTGGGGACCCTATCTGTCTGGGTCCCCCTGGAGCCGGGCACACGGGGAACCGCCACTGCTGACTGATCATATGATCGGTTCAAGTGATCACCCAGTATGCCCAATAACTGTTGGCTCAGTAGGATTCAGTTTTGTCGCAGGTGTATTTATTTGACTCCTGCTGTATACCTAAAATGCTGTCATGCCTTTGGGCCTTCCCCGAAGTAAAAATTCCGTGCTCTCAGGAAGCAGTCGGGCCTCTTGCCGGGTGCACCCCTCCGCCGTGCCTTTTCTCATAGAAATGATATACGGAGTGTGGGACGGAAGGCTGGCTTCCCCCTGGCTGCCCAGACAGCATAGATTACGAAGCGTGTCAGCATCCTGGCTCGTGTCACGACTTGAATGGGCCATCTTACAGCGACAATAAATCCATTGTTATTTTGCCAGGAGAGAGATTAATGTTAAACATAATTTATCCTTTTCGGGTTTTATCTGAGCTGAGAAAATTTGTTGCCATAGAGATTTTAAAACTCGAGAAACAGCGTTTTAATGAGCTGCGGGGGGTGGAGGGTTGTGGTCCTGACAGAGTCTCATGCAGGACAAAGTGAGTTCTTGCATATCTGCCATTTTGCTATTTTTTTTTTTTTTTTTTTGAGTTGAGATCTCTCTGTCACCCAGGCTGGAATGCAGTCGCATGATCACAGCTCACCGCAACCTTGACCTCAGCTTCCCAAATAGCTGGGACTACCATGCCTGGCTAGTTTTAAAAAAAATTTTTCCTAGAGGCAGGTTCTCACTATGTTGCCCAGCCTGGCCTCAAACTCCTGGGCTTCAAGCGATCCTCCTGCCTTGGCCTCCCCAAAGTGCTGGGATTGCAGGTGTGAGCCACCCTGTCTGGCTGTCCTTTCCCTATTGAAGACAGAACCATGACAGTGCAGAACACAGTACATGGTGCACAGGACTGGGAGCCAGGTGACCCTTAGACACGAGGGCAAGAGAGCGGCGGACTCAGACGGTATCTACACCGTCCACCCTGGGTGTGAATGGGGACCCCAGTGCTGCAGGGGAGACGCCACCAGCCCCTCTCTCCGCTCGCTCCCAAGACCACGGGGGGCCGCCCGTGTCCTGCTGCTGACTTTGCCAGCTGGGTTCTCTGGGCATACATGGTGGGTCTCACTTCTCCACCATGGGTGGTCCCAGACAAAACTGTCCTCTCCAATGACCGTTCCTGCCCTGACATCCCCTCTTGGCTCCTGCCCGGAAGCAGAAGCATAGCCTGGTCAGTTCCTCCAGGAAACCTGACTTCCTCAGATGCCCACACTGACCAGCATCACCCTCACTGGTAGCCATATCTCTGGGGCCCCGCCCTCTGCAGGGACAGCCAGGTTGGGGCTCCGCGCTGGGCCACACAGGGTACCTGACCCCGCCCTGGCCAGCCTGGGCCTTTGGCACCTCAGCAAGCAAGTCATGACCCTGCAGGCTACACCTGCCTCTGTCACAGCCTCAAGACCTCACATGGCACGTGGGGTGGCCTTTGGGGTCGCAGTCGGTTTGACAGCCGGGAGAGCTCTCTGGTGTCCTAACAGAGGGTACAGAGGCTGTGGCAGGCAGTGTCCTCAATCCCCTTGGGTGTCTCAGGAAGCTATGGGGCATGGAGCCTGGGGTGCTCTTCTCCTGAACATGGCAGGTGCATCTTCTGTGACGGCCAAGACCAGTGAGGTGCTGTCCACGTTGTCACAGTACCACCAGCAGAGGGCACTCATGGATAGCTGTAATGAGCTCCTGGGCCATCTGGTCGACCTTGTCACACTTCTCAAGAGGGGTGGATCTGGCCCCGGATCCGTGGCTTATCCCAGCCCGGAGGCCCCATTTGCAGCCCTCTGCGGCTGAGAGGCGGCTCCCACAGCAGGTCTGTCTGTGTTACCACCCACCGGGCACCGCGCCTGGCTGGTTCTGAGAGGCCACGCTGCCTTGGGCCGGGCACCTCCGGCTGGCCCTGCCCCACAGCTGTCCATCAGTCCCCGGGCTCTCGGCTGAGCTGCAGGTTTTGCACACGGCGGGAGTCGCTGACTTCACCTCCAGGGTGGATGGAGAGTAGGGCCCAGACCCAGGGCAGTGTGTGGTTGCCCCCGCCCGGCCTGGGTCTGCCTTTTGATGATCCTCGATTGTTTCTGGCCCTTGTTGTAAGGGACGTTTCCTCCTGACAGCATCCTAGGGGGGTTTGTTTGGGTTTTTTTTGAATTTGGATTGAAGTTCTGTTGATTTAATTTGTACCTTTTCTCTGTTTTGCATATCCACCAGGAAATGTCAAAAAGTGCAATTCTAGGTCAGGCGTGGTAGCTCACACCTGTAATCCCAGCACTTGGGGGGGCTGAGGCAGGAGGATCACTTGAGCCCAGGAGTTCAAGACCAGCCTGAGCCACATAGTGAGGTCCCACCTCTACAAAAAATAAAAAAAATTGGCCAGGCGTGGTGGCAAGTGCCTGTAATCCGAGCTACTCGGGAGGCTGAGGTGGGAGGATCACCTGAGCTCAGGAGTTTGAGGCCACAATGAGCTGTGATCATGCCACTGCACTCCTGCCTGGGCCACAGAGTAAGACCCTGACTCAATAAAAAAAAAAAACCAAAAATGCCCCCCAAAAGTGCAATTATAGTTTTGTTGCCACACCCCTCTCCCCCCCACCCCATCCTCTTCTTCTCTCTTCTTCTTCCCTCTTTTCTCTCCTTCCCTCCAGTGGGTGCTGAATCCTTGGGTATAAGGATGCATCAGATTCAGCCTCTGCCCAGAGGAGGTGCACAGTCTAGAAGGTTCTAACAGGATTTATGTGCAGGTGTATTGAGATGCAGGAACTGAGGAGAGGGTATCGACAGTTCCCAGCCAGGGGGGCCACTTGCGTTTCATGGAGGAGTTTGCATTTGAACTGAGGCTTGAGGGGGCGGGCTTGGCTGAGTGGCAGCAGGGAAGGACTGCGGGAATGGTTTGATCAAGGGGCAGGTGTGCAGCCGATGGCTGTGCGCCGTTACCTGCAGCGAAGACTTCAGGTCTCTGAGTTGGCTGGTTTGCAGAGAGCCATGGCCGGGTGTGGGTGGGAGCTCCCTGGCTGCCCCCTCATTCCTGTCCTCTGTTTCAGCCTCTGCATTCCCTGAGGACTTCTCCATCCTGACCACTGTGAAAGCCAAGAAGGGCAGCCAGGCCTTTCTGGTCTCCATCTACAATGAGCAGGGCATCCAGCAGATTGGTCTGGAAATGGGCCGCTCTCCAGTCTTCCTCTACGAGGACCACACGGGGAAGCCTGGGCCAGAGGACTATCCCCTCTTCAGGGGCATCAACCTGTCGGACGGCAAGTAAGTGGCACCACTGGGCTGGCCGTCCTCCTCCTGTGGGAGGGCCAGCGGCCATCCAGTATCCACTGGCTAGATGTCAGGCCTAGCAGGGGGCGGTGCTGAGACTCCCAAAGATGGGGCCCAGGAGGAGTGAGCACTGGGCTTGGAGTCCTCAAATCTGCGTCTTGGTCTCAGTGGATCCTCAGTGACTTTGGGGAGTCCGTTCTCCTCCCTGGGCCCCCATCTCCCCTTTGTAAAATGCACTAAGTACATGGCATGCCAGCCTCTCTGCCAGAAAGGGCACAGGAGTTTGTGTGGTTACTCCAGGCTTGTTCCAGAAGGGATTTAAGGTGTCTTTCAAGGATGCAGACACAGTTGACATGGGAGTGAAGGATAAGGGGGGAAAAAGGTGAGTCTTGCTAGGATTCTCTTTTGGGTGCACCCCCCAAACACGGGTGGTGTGAAGTCACCTCTTCCATGGCTGACAGGTCTGAGATCATGCATGGCTGTCTTTGGAGACCACCAGGATGGGATTCTTGTGTGCCTGGTTGAGATTTTCATAGAGATCCATCAACCCCACCATTTCCACCAAAACTCAGTCTTCTCTGTGGCCTGCAGTTGGTCCTGGGGCTTCCGAGGACACGAGACCAGTGTTGTCACCTGACAGCCACCTCCCCACACTCCTGGCCGCCACAGGGAGTCCGCTTGTGAAGTTTGGACAGCTGTCCTTGACTGAGAGATGAGAATCCTGAGGGTTTGAGAGGTTGCGTAGACGCCTGGTGGCCGAGGCACGTGGTGTTGCTGGGATTTGTGTCCAAACTTGTCTGATTCCAGAGGCTTGGCTTTGAACGGCTCAGCCTCACTGCAGCTACAGAAAGTGGGGCTTCTTCCTTGGGTCTCCAGCGGCCAGCAGCAGTGTCACTGAGTCGGCATTCAAGGCCCCCTTCTCTGTCTGTTTCATTGCAGGTGGCACAGAATTGCTCTCAGCATCCACAAGAAGAATGTCACCCTGATCCTCGACTGTAAGAAGAAGACCACCAAGTTCCTCGACCGCAGTGACCACCCCATGATAGACGTCAATGGGATCATTGTGTTTGGCACCCGGATCCTGGACGAGGAAGTGTTTGAGGTGAGTGTGAGGGCCGGTGTCTCCTGGGCTCTGCCAGGGTCACTCTCCCTTATAGCCCCGCTATGGGGCTGTGGGGGTTTGGGCCTCCTTGGGCTGGACCAGCTGGTGTTCTGGCCTCAAGGCAAGTTTGTGGCCTCCGGAAATGGAAGATCCAGACCAACTGCCAGCTGAGGCTGCATGGCGATGGTGGTGGTCACCTTTGTCCTGGGGGTGGCCCAGGGGATGTGTCTGCCAGCTTGGGAGGGTCATGGGGCTTTGGCAAGCCTTACCTGGGGTTGGAAACACGCAGACTTCCACCTTCTGATACCAGGGGGCCATCTTGGAGGGGGCGGCCGCCCTTGGGGTGGACCTGGGGGCACCATGCTGAGCCAACTCAGGGCTGTCCTCACTTGCAGTTCAAGTGTCTTTCTCTCCTGGGGAGGCTTCAGAGATGGGAGGGGGAGGCAGAGCCCGGTGGAATCTGGGGACCCCCACCTGAGCCTGCTGAGCCCTTTAGCGTGGGGACACTCTGTCCCACTGCTAAGAGGAGACCGAGGTTCCCCGTGACCCCTGGTGATCCTGGGGAGAGGGTTTGACAGTTGCCAAAGCTTTCCAAGGTGCAGGTGCTGAGCCCCATCTCCTGAGGTGCTGAGACACCTGGAATGCATTTCTTAAGAGCACGTCAGTGACTGGCGTTCCCTCCTGCTTGGTTTAGGTGACAGCCGGGACCCTCCACTGGTCTCCTTTTTCTCTTCCACCAGCTGGGCTTTGCTGACATTTGGCGTGCACCCAGGGCTCAAAGGCATTTTTGCAAACCATGGGGTAGCTGGTGTCCAAGGGCTGTCCTGGGGCTTGGACTTCCTCCTCCAGGGCCACAGAGATAGGATGGAGCAGGGCTGCGTTCCCTCCCGAAACTCCCCGGAACCTCTCATACCCGGCCATGTTTGGATGCCTGGTCTGCGTCTGTCGGCCTCGAGGCGGGGTCTCTGGGGCCATGTGTCTCCCGGGTGGCTCGGGGTCAGCCAGGCCAGACACCGTGCTGACACCATCCAGTGCCCTGCTGGTGGTGACGTCTGCTGGGGGGAACGAGGGCAGTCGAGCTGGCCCTGTGACTTGGAGCACGTGAGAAGAGTGAAATTCTGAAGGTCTCGTCCTTCCAGAAAATTCTCATGGGGAGCACATAGCGTGACTAGGAAAGCAAAGTTGAGTCTTGGGGCCGGCCCACCTGGGCTGGACTCTCAGCTTTATGGAGCGTTGGACCCGGCTCGCGGGCAAGCGGCTCTGCTATTTCTAAGCCTCAGTTTCTCCACCGATAACATGGGTTCACAAACGTGGCTCCTCTGCAGAGCCGTGGCACAGATTCCACAGGGTCAGATGCAGCAAGACACACGCCCACGGCTTGTGTCAGGGCTTCCTAAGCGTCGGTGGCATTCTTCTAGCTGTGAAGCCGGGGTCAAAGCAGCTGGGGAGGAGGGCCGAGCCCAGTGGTCCAGCATAGACGCTCCAGGGAGGATGCAGACAGTCAGCTCCATGTGGAAGCATACGGGCTCGTCGCTAGGGCGGGGGCTGGGCTTGAAGGTGGCTTGGGGGCCTGTCTGTGGGTCAGTTTCCAGGCAGCCGTGGCCTGGGGGTTCAGCGGGGCTGGGCAGGTGCTTGGGTTTCAGGGGCATTGCCAAATCCTGCAAGTGCTTGAGACACACCCTCCGGCCCGCTTTCTGGCCCAGACTTGCCCAGAGACCCGGAATGAACTGCAGGCATCCGGCTGTCCCCAGGCGGGGGAGGCAGCTTCTGGGCTATTCTGGGAAGCGGGTGTGAAAAGCTGACTTGGGGGCGACACGGGGTGGGCGGGGGTGCAGTTCTGCCTTTTGCAGGTGGGGAAATGACGTCGGTGCTCTAGGACTCTCCTTCGTAAGACAGCGTGGATAATGGGAGCAGCACCTGGCCAGCCGTAGAGGCCGGGGCGTTTGCCTGGGTGGGGCGTGTGTGCCTGTGGGGGTCTGAGGGCCGGTGTGGAGGTGGGCACCTGTGTGGAGGCTGCCCCACAGTGGCTTTCCCAAGCTGTGCCCACTCTGTCTTGCTCTAGTGCCTTTCATGGGCTCCTGACGTGCCTTTTATTGTGAAGATGCAGGAAAAAGCTTTATTTAATCTTTAAAAAGTTAGGATCCAGGCCGGGCGCGGTGGCTCGGGCCTGTAATCCCAGCACTTTGGGAGGCCTAAGGGAGAGGATCACTTGAGCCTAAGAGTTTGAGACCAGCCTGGGCAGCAAGGCAAAACCTCGTCTCTACTGTAAATAAAACAAAAAATTAGCCAGGCATGGTGGCACACGCCTGTTGTCCCAGCTACTCGGGAGGCTGAGGCAGGAGGCTCGCCCGAGCCCAGGGGGTTGAGGCTGCGGTGAGCCGTGATCGTGCCACTGCACTCCAGCCTGGGTGACAGAGTAAGACTCTGACTTAAAAATAAATTAAATATATAAATACAAAGTTAAGGTCCTAAAACAAACACTGCTTTCTTGGTCTTTCCCACTGAGCAGGAAACGCTGTCTCCCTAAGCATCCATGTGTTAAGAGTCTTTTGCTATAGGGGACACATAGAAGCCAGTGGTCAGGTGGGCTTGAATCCCAGCCCTGCCATTTCCTGGCTGGGAGATCTTGGTTCTAACCTCTGAGACTCAGTTTCCCCATCTGTAAAATGGGCACAGTGGTAGCACTCATCCCTCACTTTCATGTTATGAGAGGCACATGTGGGCGTTCCTCCATGAAAAACACACATGTGTGGTCCACAGCAAGCAGTCGTGACTTACCTACCTTTTTTTTCTTTGGAGTTGGGATCTCACTCTGGCCCAGGCTGGAGTGCAGTGGTACGACCATGGCTCACCGCAGCCTTGACCTCCTGGGCTCAGGTGATCCTCCCGCCTCAGCCTCCCAGGTAGCTGGGACTACAGGTGTGTGCCACCATGCCTGGCTTATTTGTTCATTTTATGGTTGAGATGAGTCCTTGCTGTGTTGTCCAGGCTGGCCTCGAACTCCTGGACTCAAGCAGTCCTCCCAGCTCAGCCTCCCACAGTGCTGGGATGACAGGCATGATCCTCTGCTCTCAGACTCTACTCTCTTATTCCAGAATGAAAATGACAGCCGAGCTCGGCGGCTCAGCCTGTCACCCCGTGCCTTTGGGAGGCTGAGGTGAGCGGATGGCCTGAGCCCGCGGGTTCGAGACCCGCCTGGGCAGCGAGACCTCATCTCTCCAATAAATCAAAAAATCAGCCGGGCGTGGGAGCGCACGCCTGTAATTCCGGCTACTCGGAAGGCTGAGGCGGAAGGACCGCCGGAGGCTGCGGTGGCCGGGAGCAGCCACTGCCCTCCAGTCTGGGCGACAGAGTGAGACTCCAACTCAAAAAAAAAAAAAGAAAATGACTTAAAATTTTCTGAAAAGAAATGGATCTTGAATCGAGGAGCCCGTTCTTCTCTGGCGTGTTCTTCCAGCCAGCCGCTCAGGCCTCCCCTGCAGCTGGCCCCCTGCGCCTCCTGGCTGGAGCCGTGGGTCACAGATAGGTCCGGAATCCCGTGTTTGTGGTGAGCCCTTTTTCCTGTCGTGGAACCCGATTCGAGCAAGTGGAGCTGCCAGGAGCGGGAGGTTTTTATTGACCACATGCGGCTAATGGCCAGGAGGAAACGTTCTCCGAACCCCGGAGTTTCCTGGCTGCCAGTGTGTGCTCGCTGGAAAATTGGACCTGACTTCCTTAATGGACACCCGCAGCAGGCAGCGAGGCCTTCGGAGACCCAGAGCGCCTTTTTCTTTTCTTCTTTCCTTAACAGCGTAGGGATCAAGTTCAGTGAGTTGGCCTCCTGGTCCCAGCCATCTTTTGTCTCCTTGCAAGCGAAACAGAATTTTTATTTCTTTTGAAATAGAAGGGATTTAAAGACTGCGGTGTGGTGGGTCACGCCTTTAATCCAGCCCTTTGGGAGGCTGAGGTGGGAGGATTGCTTGAGGCCAGGAGTTCAAGACCAGCCTGGGTGACTGAGTGAGACCCTGACTCAAAAAAAAAAAGGATTTAACTCTTTGCTTCCCAGCAGACTTCACATATTTACCCCTCCCCCCCATCTTAACTGCGTGTCTTTTCTAGAAGACTCTTAGAAAGGAGAGGCCAGTGCTGTGGAGATATATTTCCCCAGCAGCCTCCTCCCCTGGAAGGATGACATCTGCTCCTTAAAAGCCTGTCTGCCCCATTGTGTTGGGGCTGGCAGGATTCTGGGCGCCCTCAGCGTAGGGCCGAGGCATGGCTGGCGTATGCCAAAGGTTGTACTCAGTGCTGCTTCCAAGGAGGGATTTACTAAACTCTAGGGCTTGTTTAAACAGGACCTGGGACTCTTTCTGGAGCAAATGTGGTCCCTTGGGGGCTCCTTTGTCCACAGTGAAGTGCCCCTGAGGGGCAGAACCAGGGACAGAGACCTCGGGGCCAAGACAAGTGCGCCTCCTGCCATGTGGTGCCATTTTAGACTCCCTGGGTGCAGACACTGGGCCTCAGTGTGTGACCTTGGCAGTGCAGGTAGTCCCCGCCCCCTCAGCCCAGCCCTTTCTGCCTCTCCAGCCCTGGTCTGAGTCTGCTCTGGCAGGGCCGCCTAGCTGTCCAGGGAGGGTTGGACACTCCAGGCCCTTGCCCAGCCATGTAGGGAGGTCGGGACGTGCACAGAGGGACCGTGGTCTCATCCCTCCGCGTCCTCCCTTCCCTGCTGGTGACTTTAAGCCCCATGTCTGCATTGGTAAAATGGGGACCATACTAGGGGGTTTCAGGGTGGTGAGATGGAATCTACATCAGACATAGCCCTTCCGAGGGCTGTGGGACAACCTGACCCCCTACAGAGCTGGCAGGAGACACCCGAGGCCCTGCCCCATCCCAGGGGATGGGGTAGTGGGAGCTGGGGCCTCCGGGGTCCCCTGGGGCCACTGTGTTATTGTCCATCTCCCCGGGGAGAGAGTGCTGGGGCTGCCCGGGCATTGTCCTGGAAGTTGCAGTCTCCAGATTAT